CTTCATTATGTTCAATAGAAAAACCAATAATCATCGACTACTTATTTGTTCATGTCAATAGTAGAAGAAATAGATTCCGAACATCATTTATCATAAGATGATGCTGAGCAATGTTGTCTTAAATTGAAGGAATATTTCAAAAAAAAATTTGTTTTATTTTTTTAAAATTAAAATATGGTCAAATACAATTTATACTTATTGATCCATAGGACGGTGAACATATTCAATGTGGAACAATTGATTTAACATTTCGAAATATTACAATGATGAATACAACAAACATAATTAATAATCGTTTATATACAAATGGCTCAATTGATTTATATTTTATAAAATTATTGAATAATGATTATTTTATATTCTATTTAAAACATGAATATCTTGGTCGTACACATATATTAACAATTGAATCAAAATATTGATTTTTAATCAAACTCGACAAACATTATCATATTATGTATTACCAACATCGAAACAACAATATATAATTGATTATCCATATAATTGTTTAAAAATAAAAATAAATTGGTATCGTTTTTCAAGGTATACCATCAACAGATAGTATTTAATATTTATTATTTCAAAATGAATTAAAGGATAAATAATATTTACTTAAACCAATTAAATTAATGACAAAAATTGATGAAAATAGAAATCGACAATGTTTTTGTTTACATAAAAAGATGAACAAATTAGATTAAAATCATCCTCGTGAAAATTCATTTATGAAATTTGAACTTCGACATAATCAAACATTTACAATTTATTTACACGATGAAATTATTAGAAGTAATCATCGTATACATATTATCATATGATGGAAAATATTTACGACAATTATCATCTATAAACCAACAACAAATTGCTGATATTGATATACATATAATACACGAACTCATGGATGTGTGAGGACACACATCTAATAGGAGAGGGGAGGAATGTTAGCGGTGACTCACCCTCATTCCTGCTCCTTAATGTTTTTCTATCTCTCTCTCTCTATCTCTTTGTGGTTGTTATTCTTTTTCTTTTCTCTTCTCTATTGTATCTTGTTATATATATGTATGTATTGTCAAGGACATTTTGGAGAAGATATATACATTTTAAATAAAATAAAAGTAAGCTCGGCGAAGCGAGCTAACAATGCCATATGAATAATCGAGAAGGTTGCAACTCGTCACGTGACGAGTTGAATTTTTCAGAAAAAACAGGGCTTTCGTAACGCTAAAAATAGGGATATACGAGAAAACAGGGATATCGTAACAAAATTTACAGGGCAATCGTAGCTGTTATTTACAGGGAGTTCGTAACAGTTGCAGAGTTTTCGCAACGAGCCAACAGGGATTTCGTAACAAAAATTAGGGGTATCGTAACGAAGTCACACATCAAACCACCGGTTACGATCACCCTGTAAAATTCGTTACGATAGCTCTGATTTTTTGTTACGAAAGCCCTGATTCTGTCGTTACGAAACCTCTGTTACGGGCTTTCGTACTGTCAATTCGTTACGAAAGCCAGACAAGAAAAATCGTGACGAGTTGCAACTTTCCCGAATAATCGACATGTACATGTGTGGAACCGTAGGCAAGTGAGATGAAAATGAATACTCTTATCTATTCGATCGTCAAATTACTATCTATCTATCAATCATCCTTGTTTTTGTTTGGAGAAAGTGCGCTTTATCTAACCTTTACACTAAATGTGTGCATCGTCCTTATTCGATACTGCATTAACTCTAGTTGTAAGACGTATTTTGTATCGGTGCACCCTGTAAGATTTTGACGAATGCGATACAACAAAAGACAGAGTGAAAGCGTGCATTATGCAAGATTGACTGATCTAAAGTTGAACAAAGGATTCACACGCAAGTACATTATAGTAGCGATTGTCGTGGTGATCGCACTCGTGTTTTTCTCTGCTTGCCTGTGGCGACTGCTGCGACGACAGTAAGTCGAGTACTCGAAAGGCGTTGCATAGAATATTTCTCTTTATTAGACATAGTTCGTCTCAAACCGATGATCCAACGAAGAAAATCAGATGTGGAACATGTTTGAATTTAACTTTGACGACAATGTCCCACCAAAAAAACAACAGTGCGACACTTCTGCAATCCAGTGATCTCACAACATTGAGCACTCTTCAAGTTAGCAAGCACACTCCAACACTTGAAAACATGATTGCTCATTCTGGTAAAATATCTTTTCATGTTCACAAGAATTCACTTTTGATCATGTTCTTACAACACCTTTTCCCGATCCTATTTCAACTAGAAAACGTACGTCCAAAAAGAGACAACACTTCATTTTACATAGCTTTATTTGTCACATTCACGCGAATCATGGAATAATTGATTGGTCCCACTTCAAATCCACTCCACAGTTGACGAGCAGGCAACAACAATTTTTTCGTTGTGTTTGAATTTTCTAATAGGCATGACATACGAACAGTTCAAGTGTTTCTTTACATGGAAACGCAGCAATGTGGTATATACACTTTCTATGATAGAAAAGATTTTTCTAAAAAAATGTTCGCAAAAAATTCTAAATTTTTTGTCTCCTGGCTTCTGCATACTGCCCACCGTGCACTCCTGAAGACGTTTAGTCCATTTCAAAAAATCTTCTTCCTTGATAATCATTTCTAATTCTAAGTCTGGCATAGCTGAGGTTACTGATAACAATTTGGTCAATTTAAACTGTCAATCGAGGCAAGTGTGAATAAATAGAGATGCAAGGGCAACTTTTGTCCTAGAGTGACCGAGATTTGTGATGAGACGGGTACGCAAAGTAATTAGAAAGCAGCTCGAATGCGTCCAAAATAGTCTAGGTAGACGTAGAACTTTGTGCTCTACAGAAATCCGAAAGAATAAGCCATAATCATATATGACATATTAACCGTCAAATAGCCAGAGCATTGACCAAACATGTTGACTGGTTGCTAGAGATGGTCACTCTCCTTTTATTCGGGCTGCTTTCCTGTGCATTCATTTCATGGCAGTTTGTTCCCTCTATAGTGGTATTCTTTGCAAAAAGGATATGCCTGAG